TTTGTTGTCATGAGATAATTATAACAATAAAAGATTGGATCCTCAGTGTTGCCAACTTTATTTTTGTTTTCTACAAAAAAAAAATAATAATAAACTTTAAAATTTAAAATAATTATTTTGTGTTTTTTGCTGTTCAGTTTTTTTTTTTTTTTTTTTTTTTTTTTGCATGGTCAGCATTGAGGAGAGAGTAACACATTTCACTGCAGCACTTTGTGTGTGTGTGTGTGTGTGTGTGTGTGTTTATTGGATATGTGATTGTGATAAATGTTGGCAGTTGCTTTAAAAGTATTGCTAATACCAGGGGTTCTCAATCCTGTTCCTGGAGATCTACCTTTCTGCAGATTTCAGTTGCTATCCATATAAAACACACCTGAACCAATTAATTAGGACCTGAACACCACGTGATAATTACAGGCAGGTGTGTTTGATATGGGTAGCAACTGAAATCTGCAGAACAGAGTTTAGTACCCACCCTACTTCAACATTACCTGTAGAATTCTAACAAGCCTTAATTAGTTTGATCAGGTGTGTTTAATTAGAGTTACAGCTTAAAGTCCCGGTCACACTGCACTTTTCTCCCTTTAGACTTCCATTCATACACAAGTGAGTACTGCAGACCTGGAATGATTGCTCATGCGACAAATTTCATAATTTGCAGCATTGGAAAGTTCAAGCTTGGAGAACGCTGAATGCGAAATCACATCATGTGATTGTTTGAGACCAATTAAAGATCAAAACATGACCTCTCTGGCTTGCTTTTTCAATCTCTAATTATTTTGTTTAACTCCACTCCACGCTTTGTTTAATTCCACTTCGCAGTGCAGTATGACAGAATTTTGCATGCTCAAACATTAGTGTGACCGCAGTCTTACTGTACAGACCTGTAATATGCAAGACAATATTTATATCTGCTGATTTCTTAATTTTGTTAAACATTTTCTGTTATTTATTTGTTTGGTGCCAAAACAATAAAATAAATTTGTCTGAAAAAATGTTATGCCTTCTATTTTAAATAACAGCTAAAAATACTGATTAATTTTAGTAACACTACAATAACTATATATGACATACTATTAATGTGTATGCAGTATAGTGCTGTGATTTGTAACACTACAGTACAGTAATTAACTGTACACAGTTTCCAGTTAGTTACCACTGCTGCTCTATTACAGTAATTAACTGGCAACACTGTTGCCAGCTACTCACTGTATTGGTTCAGTTACAGTAAATAACTGGCAACACTGTTGCCAGCCACTCACTGTAATGGTTTAGTTACAGTAGAATACTGGCAACGCTGTTGCCAGCCACTCACTGTAATGGTTCAGTTACAGTAATTAACTGGCAACACTGTTGCCAGTTACTTACTGTAACCAAACTTTTACAGTGAGTAGCTGGCAACAGTGTTGCCAGTATTCTACTGTAAAAAACCCTGGTAAGGTCTAACAGTGTGCTGAAGAATTTGCCCACTTCTGTGGTTTTTAGTGTAATGGGCAGCACAAATGTCTTGATACCTCAGGCTGTTGCTGCTGCCATCTACTCTGCAGATCTCTCGTACGCCCCCATATTGAATGTAACCAAAAAGCATGTTTTTTCCATCACCAAACTTGACTGATATTGTGAGAATCTTGGGTCCATGCGAGTTCCAATAGGGATTCTGCAGTATTTGTGATGATTGTGATGCAGTTCAACAGATGATTTATCAGAAAAATCTATATTCTACCACTTTTCCAACTGATCAACTAGAAGTCAAGTTATTTTTTTTGTTGTTCTTACATCTGTGATCGATGACAAGACTTTTGTCAGGTAGTGAACAGTTAAAGTCAGAATTTTTCGTCGTCCTGTGATTTTTTTTTTCTTTTTCAAATACTTCCCAAATTTTGTTCAACAGAACAAGGGTTTTTTTCCACAGTATTTTCTATAATACAGTAGTTTTTCTTCTGGAGAATGCCTTATTTGTTTATTTCGACTCGAAAAAAAGGCAGTTTAGAGGTCAACATTATTAGTCCTCTTAAGCAATATAAAATATCAAGGTAAAATAAATCAGTTATTAGAAATTAGTTATTAAAACTATAATAATTAGAAATGTATTGAAAAAATCTTTCCCTTAAACATAAATTGGGGGAAAAATATAGAGGGGGGCTAATAACTCAGGAGGGCTAATAATTTTGACTTCAACAGTATACATTTTTATGAAACTGTGTTGTTTAATGCTGTCCCGTTTTCACACAATCTAACTGAACTTTGTGGATCTGTTACAATCCAGTAGCTGGCAGTTTATCGAGCTGAGTTAAACATATTCATTGAATCTGTAAGCAGTGCACTTGGTTGGAAGAATTATGAATAGCGCTTAACGTTTCTGAGGCGACATTTTGCACAGTTGTCATGACTGTGATTTTATTCACAGGCAATCCAGGGTTTCAGCTGCTGATGGTGCTTGACTGAAGTTGAAGTGTGAATTACTTCTAATGTGGAGGGCATCCCTGTTCAATGGCCATACGGCGACTACATGGGAAGATTCTGCATATATCAAGATAAGAGACATAATCAACCACAAATGGAGGCTCATTTTAGTTTGAGTGCAGGGTGAAACTCTCGATGTAGTTTCACACTGTCACGAAGCAGGTTTAAGTGGCTACCTGGGCAAGCTGAAGTTTAGTTTGAGCCAGTTTTTAAGTGGGATGAAAATGGATATTTTATGCAAAGAACACTGACGTGCTGTAATAAAGTCTAAATTTAAAAAGTGTTCAAATGTGTTATTATGCCCAAATATATTAGTATTAACAGAGCATATAAACACTATGATCCAAAAAAGTGATTAGCAAAGATTTTTGGTAACACTTTACTATAAGGTTGTATTAGTTAACATCAGCTAATGCATTAGCTAACATGAATAAATGATGAACAACATATCTGATAAGCATTACTTAATCTTTGTTGATGTTAAAACACTTGCACAGATTGATATTGTTTTGTCACCTTGGAATTATAAGGTTCTATCTGCATTCTGAATGATTTTGAGATATTGAGCTTTAAAGTTTGTGCATTCCATAGCAAACAGTATGTGTGTAACATTTGTTTTTTAAATAAAAAGTAAAATGAAAATGTAAACAATTTATAAAAAACCTCATAATGTAAATAAGTTGTCATTTAAAAAGAATATGTCAATTACTCAATTTTTACAAAAAAATATCAGATAGAACCTTATAATTCTAAGGTGATGGTTTACTTAGACATATGCTAATGTATTTGATAATCTATTAGTTAACATTCTATTCAGTAATACAAAATATTTGTATAGTAAAATAGTAATGTTATTTTTTTCTTTTTTTTAATATTTCCCAATTGATGTTTAACGGAGCAGGGAAATTTTCACAGTATGTCTGGTAATATTTTTTTCTCCTGGAGAAAGTATTATTTGTTTTATTTCAGCTAGAATAAAATCAGTTTTTATAAAAAAAATATATTTATATATTTATAAAAAAAACAATTTAAGGTCAAAATTATTAGCCCCTTTAAGCTATCATTTTTTTTTACGTTACGCTACAGAAGAAACCATCGTTATACAATAACTTGCCTAATTACCCTAACCTGCAGAGTTAACCTAACTAACCTAGTTAAGCGTTTAAATGTCACTTTAATCTGTGTAGAAGTGTCTTGAAAAATATCTAGTAAAATATTATTTAATGTCATCATGGCAAAAATAAAAAAAATCAGTTATTAGAAATGACTTAATAAAGGTTCACGAAACCCTTGAGTATTTTTTTTTTTTTAGATCTTAACAGATTTGTGTGTGTTGAGCATCAGTTAAGACAATGTTAGCATCTGTTTGCTTTAATTGTGGGAAAAACTGCATAATTTTGAGCTTTTGTCAGCTTATTTCAGCTTCCGGGTTTAAAATGATTTTCGGGACAGGACCGAAAAAACTGCAAGTGATGACGCATCGGTTTCCCATTATTTTTCATAATGGAGTTTTCCTATCCTTTGAGAAGAGCCTGCTTCATAATTATTCATGAGAGCACGTGCTTTCCGAAGGCAAGACACTGCCAAGCTGTGAAACACGGACCCAAGGCACACAGCCATGCTGCTGTGTTTGCCTAAATTCTCTAGATTACCAAAAGGGCTTATGGTTAAAATAGACAGGGCAAGAGACCTGCTGCACTGAGTCTGCATTCAGACCTATGATTTAGACCCGGGGATTAAGGGAAAAGTTCTCATTTATAGTGTTCATATGAACACGATTATCTTTATAATGATATAAATTGTGGTTATGTGTATATGAAATTACGAACAACAAACGTAGCAGGGCATTAAATTACTGTTTATTTCTTTGCATTTTAACTTTGTAAACTATAAAATCATTTCTCCTCGTGGTTTGTGTCTCATTTTGTGAGCTAACTGACAACAGTTGTTCGCTCCCCTTCTTCTCCCCTGCTGACCACGCCCACTCCTGCCCTTTGCTCACGGACCTCCATGCCCATTATGATGCTTCTTTTGAAAGTGGGGGGTGTCATGATCCTTTAAAACTATTATGCTTAGAAATGTTATATTATATTATCTTATATTATATTATCTTATATTATATTTTATTATATTATATTATATTATATTATATTATATTATATTATATTATATTATATTATATTATATTATATTATATTATATTATATTACATATATAATAAAAGGATGAAATGTAAAGAGAAACTTACAGACACTTGCAGTCTCAGTGCAAAGGTAATGTCTACATGCAGCTCATTTTTCTTTGACTAATCTGACATCCAGACATCGGATGATCCCATTAGACCCTGACGACCAAACTGGCGCAGCTGTTAAAGGTACCATCATCGTATAGCATTACACTTAATGTTCAATAAAACCACAATAGTATACCAATTAAATCTTTATCGCTTTTTACATTGCTGGAAAAATACACAAGGTCAGCCTAATAACCAAATAAGGCCACGCAATTAAAATACTGCCAATAGGTTCTGATTCACTCACTGTGTGCTGCCTGCTGGCCAGCCGCTGACCTCCGTATGGGGATCCATATGTGGGTGTGTGTGTACCGCCACAACATCACATCATTCCCTCAACTGCAGATAACCCTGTAAGAGTCAGCCATATGGTCAATTAATAAATATGAACTCACACACACATAGCCTGCATCAAAGAGATTTGTTTGAAGAAGCATCTCCAGAATATAAACCTTGCTGGATCTCATCCATTGCAGGTCTCTTGCTCTGCCACAGTGCCTCCTCCCATTTTCTACTCTTGAATGCCAATAAAAGTCAATTTGTTAAACTTTTGAGCATCAAAAAAGAGATCAAAGTCCCATAATGCATGCAACACCCATGAATCATAAAATATTTAAAATAAAAAATAAAATAATTGGGAGTTATACAAGTATAGCGAGGTAGTAATGTAATTTAAAAATTATAGGTCCTCCAGAGAAATTTAAGCTGTACTGTTTAACAGAGCAAGGGCATTTTTTCACAATATTTCCTATAAAATTATAATTTTTATTTTTTAATCATTTACTAGTACCCTTTTGCCTTCAGGACTGCCTTAATCCTTTGTGGCAGATTCAACAGGGTACTGGAAATATTCCTCAGAAACTCTGGTTCATATTGACATGATAGCATCATGCAGTTGCTGCAGATTTGTCAGCTGCACATCCATGATGTGAATCCGTTCCACCACATCTCAAAGGTGCTCCATTGGTTTGAGTCTGGTGACTGTGGAGGCCATTAGAGTACAGTGACCTCATTGTCGTTCAAGAAACCAGTCTGAGATGATTCGAGCTTTATGACATGGCGCGTTCTCCAGCTGGAAGTAGCCATCAGAAGATGGGTACACTGTGGTCATAAAGGGATGGACATGGTCAGCAACAATACTCAGGTAGGCTGTGGTGTTGACACTCAATTGGCATTAATGAGCCAACAATGTGCCACGAAAATATCCCTCACACCATTACACCACCACCACCAGCCTGAGAGTTCATACAAGACTGGATGGATTCATGCTTTCATGTTGTTGACGGCAAATTCTGACCCTACCATCCAAATGCTGCAGCAGAAATTGAGACTTATCAGACCAGGCAATGTTTTTCCTATCTTCTATCGTCTAATTTTGGTGAGCCTATGCAAATTTTCAATAGTATCTGGAGGCAGCCTTTATGATGCAAGCTGAGATTGCATTACTCAGCGATGCAATGTCAGACACAATGCACTCAATGGAGTGAGTGACGTCCCTGTGACGGGTAAGGTTAGGGTAGGGGTTAGGTGATCACATTAAAAAGCATTGGATGCAGCTCAGATTGCACTGCATCAGGTCTGCATCCAGACCCGTCTCCAAATTGTAGCCTCAGTTTCCTGTTCTTGGCTGACATGAGTGGAACCCCATGTGGGCTTCTGCTGCTGTAGCCCATCAGCCTCAAGGTTCCTTGTGTTGTGCGTTCAAAAATGCTCTTCTGCATACCTCGGTTGTAATGAGTGGTTATTTAAGTTACTGTTACGTAATCGCGTGGGTTTCCTCCAGGTGCTTCGGTTTTCCCCACAAGTCCAAAGACATGCAATTGTCTTGTAATTGGGTAAGCTAAATTGTCCGTAGTCTATGTTAATGAGAGTGTATGGATGTTTCCCAGTGATGGGTTGCAGCTGGAAGGGTATCACAACATACAGTATGCAGGATAAATTGGCGGTTCATTCCTCTGTGGTGACCCCAGATTAATAAAGGGACTAAGCTGAAAGGAAAGTGAATTAAAGAATATATTATGTACTGTCATCATGGCAAATAAAGTGTCTCTGTTAAAAAGCATTTGGGAAATATTTAAATAATAATAACAATAAACTTAAAAAACAGGTAAATTAAAAAAGCCACAGTCCCATAATGCAATATGTAAGTGAAAATAAAGGGAAAACACTCATAAAAAAATAAAATAAATTATGACTAACAGTGATGCTGTTGTTTTTGAAGCAGCTACTAGGAGGCACTTTTCTGTCAAACACATGTGCAGATTCACACATGCTTCAGTTTCTCTAATGAGTTTTTCAACACTTAGCCATATGGTCAATTAATAAATATGAACTCTCACACAGATTCCCTGCATCAAAGAGGTTTGTTTGGAGGAGCGACAGGAATATAAACCTCCCTGGATATCATCTATTACAGGTACAATGCAGAAGGTGGAGAACCCCCTTCCAATTTTCTCCATTTCCCATTTTCCTATTTGCTGCAGTTGATTTGTGTGAGATGATGTACGCAGCACAGTTTTCCGTCCTGGCTTCTAATTATAATGAAGATCAAGTGTAGTCTGCAAAGTCTTTTTTTTCGTGCTAAAGCTGTGATTCTCAATCAGGGGTACACGTACCCCAGAGAGTCCTTAAGCAGGTTGTTAGGTCTTTCTAAAGAAAGCGTTTGCCTCCAGAACTGACAAAGCTTGTGATAGACGTATAAGCTCAGGTGTCTCATTAAAGAGAGAGGAATCAACTTGCTGAGTTTGTTTTCACACCCACAGCGCTTATTGCAAAAGTTTAAAGGTGAATCACTGTAATAATGGCTACTCAAAGAATATTAATGATAATGGTGAATAATATCCAATATGACACTGGTTAAGAGGAACACACTTCAAGTTTGATGCCTATGAAATGGCACTTCAGTGTTTCTGTGTGGTGTGAGGGTAAAAAAACTGGGAAACCCTCAGAATTTAACATGAACAAGTGTTTAATTATTACCTTTTATCTATGCTGTAATGTTAAAGGCTTTTACAATACATTTATTCACAACTCGATAGACTAGTTCTTCAGGAGTCCTCTCAAGCTTTATCAGCAACAGTACCGAGTCATGCTGTGCAAATAAAGTTACATTTTTCATACCTTTCATGATCATTTCTTAATCTTCAGTGGAATCCTGCTGCTTCACTCCTTGCTTGACGCGAGCTGTGGGATTTGCTTTGGTTTAGACTTGCACTTGGTGGCTGATTCATACGCAACACTTTTGAAGTACATATTCAGTCTTTTAAAATTAAAGAGAAGTTGGAAATACCTTTGCAGTTATATATTGTAAACGGACATCCAGATGTCGTGCACACTGCTTAGAGGGACGCTTATTTATGTATGCTTTCCTCTTAGTATAAACATAAATCGCGCTAGGGTGCGTTTCCCAAACAAAGACGTAACTCGCGGCCGAACTACCATAGTACGATACATGTTTGAGAAAAGAACGATGTAGTTTCCCTAAACCATAGTTGCTTTGTCGCAGATTCGTCATTTGAACTATGTTAGTTCTAGCGTAAGACACCCATAATGACGCTAAAAATGGGCGGAGTAACAACTCCTTTACAGAAAATTTCCGTCTGTTTTTGTGTGTGCAAATTCTAATGTTTTACACACACACACGCACACACACACACACACACACACACACACACACACACACACACACACACACACACACACACACACACACACACACACACACAGTAAAAAGAAAAAGCCAATATTAGTTTTGGTAAAAAAAACATGCACTCGTTTTCCATATTAATTAAAATATAAACGGTACATATGGGGCCTATGATTCCTTAAAATTTTCAGAATATTTTCTATTCTATTCTATTCTATTCTATTCTATTCTATTCTATTCTATTCTATTCTATTCTAAATATTCCATTCTAAACCTATTATTCTTTTATTTCTTATCTATTATTATTACTATTAATATTATTATAAAGCATGTATTTATTTATTTACAACTTTGACACATTCAAACCATGGCAGAAATGTAGAGGCCCATGTCTTACACACTACAGATACATTTCCTAAATCACCTACTAAATATTAAAACCATTAACGTTTGCTATATGTTTTTGTTCACAAGCTTTGGAGATTCCGTTTTTAAATAATAGGTCACCTATAGCTTTCGTCATGAGCCATGGATGCGTTCAAAATGGCATAAATATTTTCAAAGTGCACTACAAAAGGAACGCAATTGTCAATATGAAGATTGCTAAAATTGTAAAAAGCCAAAAAAAGCTACATTGAAAGCAAATTCAGTAAAATCTAGATAGGATACATCTGCGGATACGCACATCAATATAGCACCATTTTTTAAAAACACTTTATAACAATAAATAATATTTTTTAGGGTTCTGTGATGGTTGGGTTTAGCGTTGGGGTGGGGGTAGGCATAAATAAAATATAATTAATTGGGAAATTGAATAAATAACATAAACAATACTCGGTACAACTACTGTTTTTACACTACTGTTATGGTTGGGTTTAGGTAGTACTTTTTTATTTCACATAATAATGTTTTAGTTATGATACTCCCAAAATTCTCAGCAGAAATGGCAAAAAACATCCACAGGTTCCATCTGGCCCTGCCTTTAAGTTATCAGATCCCTTTGGTACGCCTATATATATATATATATATATATATATATATATATATATATATATATATATATATATATATATATATATATATATATATATATATATACATACAGTTGAAGTCAGAATTATTAGCCCCCTTCAAATTTTTTCTTTTTTTTTTTTATATTTTCCAAATGATGTTTAACAGAGCAAAGACATTTTCACAGTATGTCTGATACTATTTTTTCTTCTAGAAAAAGTCTTATTTGTTTTGTTTTGGCTAGAATAAAAGCAGTTTTTAATTTTTAAAAAGCCATTTTAGGGACAAAATTATTAGCCCCTATTTTTTTCTTGATAATCTACAGAACAATCTATTGTTATACAATAACTTGCCTAATTACCCTAACCTGCCTAGTTTACCTAATTAACCTAGTTAAGCCTTTAAATGTCACTTTAAGCTGTTTAGAAGTGTCTTGAAAAATATCTAGTAAAATATTATTTACTGTCATCATGGCAAAGATAAAATAAATCAGTTATTAGAAATGAGTTATTAAAACTATTGTGTTTAGAAATGTGTTGAAAAAATTTTCTCCCAGTTAAACAGAAATTGGGGGAAAAAAATAAACAAGCGGTCTAATAATTACAGTTCTGACTTCAACTGTATATATATATATTTTTTTTCCCAGTCTTCTTTAAATATAAGTTTTAATTTCATGTTTTTTTATTTATTTATTTATTTATTTTTACTCTTATCACTTGTATTATTGTTAATTGATGTACAATGAATATGTATAATTTGTATTCAGGTCACACCATGTAATCACAATTTAATGTTTGATGTATTCCCTGTTACTTATGTTATTAAAATTTAAATAAAAAACACTATAATGATTTTCTGGGTTTCTTCTTCATTGGTGTTAGGTATTTCTGTATGAGATCGCCCTCTAGCTTTCAGATGGAGATTTTGTTCTGATCACACAACTGTGCTTTCCTAACAAGATGAGCATGAAAATTGCAGCTTTCCTGGATTGAGTTTGGGATTTTATTTTAATTCACTGCCCAGCCCTAAACAAGCAAAATAATAGATAAATGAATAATTAAAAAAAAAAAAAAAAAAAAAAAAAATATATATATATATATATATATATATATATACACACACAGTAGCGCTCAATTGCAGAAAATAAAACATCTGATCATAGCGATTTTGATATTTTTGGAGCAGCATCTGCAATTCATTGATTCATTGGCATCATGATGACAGAACGTTTATAAAGTATTTGAGACTTTAGTAGGCTATGAAGACTCTAGATACATCTTAACTAAAGATAAAGGTTTGTTCACTAAACTATAAGTTAAATAGGTTGCTTAAGGTACACTTTCTTATGTGTGATGTTGTGAGGTGCTGTCCCTACTGGTGGTGCTAAATTGAAACAGAAGTAATTCGGGGCAGAACTGTGAGAACTTGTTTACCTAATACAGATCCAGTCCACTCTTGTGAAGTTTTAATTTTGTACATCATTTTTTGCTCATCAGGGAGCTGCTAATAATATGCAGGGTGTTGAATTCACTTTTAAATAAGGGCTGTTTCAATTATTCTTTCGATTTCCTCAACAGGTTCTCTGAGTAAGAGCAGAATATATATTACAAGATAAGATATTTAGCATTGAGCTCAGTTTCTGTTAAGGAAAAAATACTTAACCATGGCCTCTCTTCTTACTCTTGAGTTTCGATCAGTTTTCAGATTCAATTTTTTGCTTTCTTAAATTCTTAATACTGGGTTAAGGGATTATACAATGCAGTGGCACGGGTAGCATATTCGCCTCACAGCAAGAAGGTCGCTGGTTCGAGCCTCGGCTGGGTCAGTTGTTGTTTCTGATTGGAGTTTGCATGTTCTCCCCCGTGTTCGCGTGGGTTTCCTGCAGGTGTTCTAGTTTCCCCCACAAGTCCACAGATGTGGTATAGGTAAATTGGGTATGCTAAAAAATTGACCGTAATGCATGACTGTGTGTGTGAATGAGTTTCCTAGTGATGGGTTGTGGCTGGAAGGGCATCCGCTGTGTAAAACATATGCTGGAGTTGGCGGTTCATTCCGCTGTGGCAACCCCATATTTAATAAAGTAACTAGGCCGAAAAAAAAATGAATGAATGAATGAATGAAAACTGCTCAAAATGTTAAGCATTTTTTAAGGAAGACATGGAGCATGTTTATGGAAAATGTGCTTTGTAAACATTGTAAAATATTGTCTTTAAAGCGGAGAGCCTACTAAAAGCAACATGGGAAACATATTGTGTGGAAAAAGAAGCCATAAGAAGCAGAATTTCAAAGCTGAGGATCTTTGTTATGTTTTAGTCATAGTTAGACTATCGGTATCTAAAAGCTGGTATTATTATTATACTATTGTTATTATTATTGCAGTTTTTATCATGGTAGCCAGGTGACAAGTTTTCTGTGATTAAATATGCACTTAAATGTGTCCACAGAAGTATCGTGTTTTGAATGTGCTTTACTGCTGCCACTGAACTTTTAATCAAAATCCTTCCCTTTAAAAAACAAACATCAGAGTAATGCCAACTTTAATCTTTGCTGAACAACTCTCTTAAATTATATAAATGAAACACTGGGTGCATTAAAGTGTTAAAGAGTTATATTCATAAGATGTATGATTATTGATAAGATGTAAAGAAGCTGTAAAAAAGTCTGGTCTAAACCAGGAGTTTCCAGATTTTTCAGGCTGCGACCCCCAAAATAACAATTCCAGAGACTCGCGAACCCCGCTATCCTAGGAGGTTGTTATATACATACAAACATTGCACACAACAGTGGGCACACACCAATAGGCCTATATGAACCAGCCTATATGAATAATATAAATGTTCTTTATATTATTTATTAAATTTTCTCATTTATTGTATTTTATTAACGTCTACCCATACCTTAACCCTAAACCCAACCATCACATTAATGTAAAAACATATCTGGATATGGAGTCTTCTCCATTAGTGTAGCTAATTAACCGTGTGGATGGATGATAACAGTGCAAAAAAAGTGTAAAAGTTTAACAACCATTTCATATGTTTGTAATTGATTCATTTGTTTAATATTAACCTCATCTAATGACACTGGTGGTGGGGACGATGTTTACTGTATAATTTAATTGCAAATAATTACATTTTGGAGACTGCCACTTGGAGATCATCCTCCATGATCTTTAAAAATCTAAAAAGAAAATTTAAATGTAAGTGAGTTCTGTAAAGGTCAACGTTTACCATGGTGTTGTGAACAATCTGCTGCAACTGACGCTATTGTGGTGTCATTAATATAAAACAAACACACCAGGGGTGGCAATCCCTGAAAAAAAAATCTATTTGCAATTTATTTGCATGTTGTTTTTTTAATGTAACTATTAAATACTATTTTTCTTCTGTAAGTTATGGATAAAATATGATTTCTAATAGTTTAATAACAAATTTGATTTCTGGAAACCAAAAGCAACCCACTGGTCTAGACCACTAGTCAAAAAGAAACCACTGGTCTAGAACAACCTTTCAAAAGTATACTTATACTTAAAGGTATACTTAACTAAGCACTTTTCAGAAAACACATATTAATGATAAGATAAAGCTTAAGGTACAACCTAAGAATGACGCACTATAAGACGTTTTTAGGAAATGCAGCCCTGGCTATCTAAGACTTATAGTTTTAGGGTGCTTTAACACCTGGCACATTTTCTCCCTTAGGTTGGTTTGTTTAGACGTGAACAGTGGTTAATGAATTCTGGAGAAGTTTCCTTGTGGCAAGAAAGCAATTAGACATTACCCACGATGAGTTATTACATATATTAGGTGAAAAACAGCAATGTGGGCTAACTTGGAGCAAACAGGTGTGCTTTAAATAATAAAATGAGTTTACTTGCATGTGACAAATTTTGGTCTATTCAGAAAGCCTGCCTTGTGAAATAAGAAGAAATTGGATTTCCCTAAACATTTTCAGTAATATG